GTTATGGATTTATACTGATTTACACTGTAAATTTGCAACAGTTAGCATTTTCCCTGAACTGCAGAAAGGCAAGAATAGCTGCAACCCTGAGACAGAAGGGATTTTGGTTTCATTTATGATCCAATGGRATTTTTTAATCTGACAAATATACCTTTCAATTTCCTACCTTTTTAATCAAGGTCTCTTGCAAGTATAGATTTTTTATCTTCTCCCTCTTTAAAATTTCCAGTTCCATTTCTGTTGGCTCTACTTTCTCTATCTCAAAAGCCCTCTGCTCCTCCGTGTCCACAGCTGATGCATCTCCAGCCTGTGACACAGGCTCAGCCTCTTCCACTGGAGGAATTTGAAAAAACACATGTCTAAATGCACGAGATGAGGGACACCCTTCCAGTGGCTCCTTGAGCTTTTCCTGGGCCTCCTGCTCCTCTTTGAATTTCAGGAGGACATCACTGTTGTACTCAATTATCTTTTCAGGAACCTCATCCGGTTGTAACTGAGGGATCAGGGGAATAGGGAGATGTTCTGATAAATCCAAGCTTGCCTGTATGGATTTCAATTCCTTCACCAAACCYTTGATTTCATCAATAATAGAAACCTTGAGATCCCGCAAAGACACAATATCTTTGTTCATGTTTGTTTTCATCGTATGGATCTGCAAAGAAATAACAATTTTAGTAGGATTCCTCAACACAGTTAGCAGTCTTCCCTGACACAAGAAATCTAACATTAGGATTATTAATCATTCTGTGATAAGGGGACACTGTATTAGTTGGCTCTATTTACATTAAGTAATAATTGAATGGGATCTATCATTAATACACTTGGCAGAGATTTCTCTGATCTTTATAAAAGAAAATAACACACCATCCTCCTGAAGCAACTGGAATTCCTCATCTGCCTAACCCAGAATTTATGACAAGAACGATTCCCTTTGTTTGTCCTAATGAGTTAAGTTAATCACTGGATATCTGGTAGCATCAGCACTACAGTGAAGTGCTGAAGCCCAAGCTGGAGGCTAAAATTATCCAACAAATCCCCTGAGATTGTAGCATTGCTTCTGTAATGCTTAAACGTTGCTGTCAAAGTTATCCAGTGTCACTCTTTTGCACTCCAGCCAAATACAATGAAAAAAACATTCCTATGAGAAGGATGGAGGGTTAAGCAGTCACAAGGAAAGCAATAAAGACAGCACAACATTTGAACTTAACATGTCTTCGTGGTTAAAAAATGTGTTGTTGCTGCAGGAGTGCTACCACAGCAAAGTGGCTCCAAAAGACCTGGTTTCTCAGGAAGATTCCAATGCTTWGTACCCAGAAGCAGTGATTACCAAAGTGCTAATATGGAGAGGCCACCCTAGAACACTTGTCTTTGCTGTTATCACTTGTCATCACTGTTTTTGTAAAGGTATTTCATGGCAGGGGTTATTTAGCTCAGTGTTTTACTAGATTATAAGACTTGCTTGTAATTCAAAAAGACATGTTCCTGCTGAAGTACTAGTAAATGTACTCATTCACAAAGAGCCCCCTGGATTGATTCAGGTTTGGATTTGGTAAAGCACAAGACATTTCACAAGAGAAGGGCTCATTTGTAACTAAAGCTTATTCAAAACAGCAGTCTGTCCTTCAAGGTCTATTCTCACACTCACTTTGAATTCCTTTCAAATAATTTCTTCAGTGATTAATACATTGTCCTCATTTCCCCCCCAAAATGGGGCAATGTACACAGTTTTACATACCAACTCTTCCAGGGATGCAAGCTGCATCATCTTCTTTTCAGTGTTCACACGCTCATGTTCAGTGAGCTCGTAGTTAGTGAGAGACTTCAGCTTGAAACATCCTATAGTGTCCCGTGCTTCTTTGATCTCCTCAGCATCTTTGGAATTCTCAGGGTTATCCTTAGGCTTGATCTTGTATCTGGTAGGTACAAAATAAAGCTGAACTTCAAGACAAAAAGCATACAAATGAACAGAGTCATTTCATACCCTCMGATTTATGCAGCAAAGTTTGGTGGGTGAAAGAGGGATCAAGAATGATATATCTCTTCCAGAAATGATTGGCTACTTTGGAAAGACTATCCTTGAACATTTCAATGAAAATCTCAGATATKTTTTCCCCTAAGAACTGCTAAAACATAGCTCTGCCATGGGACAGTTTAAACCTCCACTTGGACTGAATTGTGGATTAAGTGAGTACACGCTGCTCTCAATTTCAGGGAGCCACAYATCAATAATCTACCAGCCTGTAGCACAGAATATCTGTTGCTACTCTACCTTGTTAAACACTCAATGACATTAAAAGCCTTGTATTCTGACTCTACATTGGTCCCATTCCCTGTCATTCATCTCCTAAGGAAGAACTTCCATAATTCCAAGAGCATAGAATGGTTTGGGTTGGAAGAGACCTTAAAGATCATCTTGTTCCAACTTCCCTGCCACGAACAGGGGCACCTTCCACTAGACCAGTCACTCAAAACCCCATCTAGCCCTGACTTGAAGAACAGGTCATTCAAAGATAGGATTTAGGTTGCATATTAGGAAAAGGTTTTTCACTCTGAGGGTGACTGGGCACCAGAACATGGCGGTTGGGCTCCCAGGGAAGTGGTCACAGCACCAGCCTGAGAATGTTGTCCAGACACTTGAACTCTTTCTCACGCACATGGTGTGACTCTTGAAGCTGCCCTGTGCAGGGACAGGAGTTGGACTTCAACAATCCTTGTGGGTCCCTTCCAACTCAGAATATTCCATGATTCTGTAAAAGATGTCCTGTCCCTATTCCTTGCCTCTCAAGATAAAGGGCAGCATGGAGCATGAAGTCATATCACACACACTCATGATGTTTATCACATTTATCATCAATAATGGCTGAAGTCCTAACACTGCTGATGTAACCCCACTCTTACAGTGTCTGCTCCATGGGTTCACTAAGAGTTGACTGTAATGGCCTAGGTGTCCCTCAGTCATGATCATTTTAGACACATTTTACTCTCTTTCTGAAAATGCAGCTTGCTAGCTGAATTCAAATTTGATAGTATTTTAGAAGAGCCATAGAAACTAAATTAAGTATTTTAATACTCTCTTGAGACTCAGAGATATATGAAAATTCATCTGTTTTAATTACAACCCTTAGGAGTATAAAAGTCTAAGCAGAGACAATATAGTGCCATATGACAGCTGAATAGCATTTCTCAACCTCAGACAAGAAGCAGAACTAAAAGGGAACAGAGTCCATTTCAAGACTCACAATTCATGCCACTCTGCCCTCCTCTTCATGATCTTGGCTTTCAGTGCATCATATTTCTCAACAATTCTTCTGATTTTCTCACGTTTGCTTTCTATGTAACGCGTGGTTGGCTTTTGAACCTTCGGTGTCTCTGGCTTTTCAGCCTCCTTCTCAAAAGCTAAACTTCCTGAAACAAAAAACATCCATGTGATGATGTAAATATCATGCAGCACAGTGCAGTCCAGCTGCTGCAAACTCCCTCAGACAGATCCTGTAGACCTGATGTAAATCAGGATAGTTCCATTGGATAAATCAGGATAGTTCCATCCACAGTGGATGTTCTGAAAGTATTCAGGTTCTCTGACTTGACTTTTAGTCACATTCTACCCATGAGGCTGACAGACAATTGCTGACACTACCCTAAATATGTAAAACTCTGAGTGTTACTTTGTAAATAGGTACTTAAAATCACACCACAGCTCTATTTCTTTACCTGCACTTACAAATGTATTTCTTTAGCTTGGACTCAGGAGAACAAACTGAGATGAAAGACAGAAATCACATTACTGGAAGATTTAAATGGTTATCATTACCTCTATGCACAGGGCTTGTCTCTCTGAGCATCTCTTCTGCATATTCTGTCTGTTTAAGACCTGCCCATTTGTCCTTAAGTTCTGCCCACTTGCTGTCCCCGTGTTTCTTATCTCTGGCATATTTCTCAGACACTGTTAGAAGGCTGTAGGTGGAAATCTGATGAYTGCTTTGAATAGCATGGACAGTGAGAGTATATTCCAGCAAGTCCCGGAACCTGGAATGCCAAATTAGCCAAAACTGATGTCAGTGGGCACAACACACCATTTTGCCTTGACCAAAAGGGCATGAAGAGTGTAGTTTACTTGTAACACGTGCAATCTTTACATGTAAATCCACAAGTCAGTAAGTAATTGCATAGCATGATAATACCTGACACTATCTGTTGACTTTTATCCAATCTAGGAATGGACATGCTCAAGAAAAAAGCACATTAAGACCTTTCCCAATACTGAAACTTACACCAGGTTCTTCATGAGAATAACTTCCATCTTTCATTAAGGACTGATAAAAACATGCTCATTTTTCCCCGTCACACACTCTGTGTCCCTAAGGGTTTTTTTTATTGTGTGTTTGTTTTATTAATTCATCTTTTGCTCTATACTTMGATCTGTGGAAACCAACTCAAAATGCACCTCATCCTTAAACTTGTGTTCTTGAGAAAGTTTGTTCATAACTTCAAATCGTATAGAAAACCTTGTGTTAGCAGTGGCACTAAAATATGTGACAGACATGCAACATGTTTTAAAAATAAGCATTAATTTCACAGGTTTTTTTCAACATTTCAATAAGAGTTCTTGGTTCTTACTGTACTTACTGGAAAAAAACAAGGCAAAGAATCTCAACCAGGTTTCTTMATACAGAAGTGAATCAGAATGAAGTAATTTCCTTCACTGAGTATCTGAATTTTTACCAAAGATTCAATAGAAGTAATTACACATAAATATTAGTATATACTTGTGTATGTTCCAAGTGAAGTAAGAACAGAATTGTAAGAAAACAGATGAARTACTGATTATAGGAGATAGAAACAAAATCTCAATCTTTTTCCTTGTGGGAGATACAAATTCATAAACAATAAGCCCCATGCAAAGTCAGAGAGAGAAGTGGAAGTGGTACTTGCTGTGTTTGTAGTTTCTGCAGTCCAATGAACTGTTTCTCATTCTCCCAAGCCAGCTCCTTTTGCACTGACTGGATTCTCTGTAGTTTCTGCCTATCCAGCTCCTCAAAGATCCTACGGTCCATTTCAAACTCCTGCAGGAAGATGGAAAACACATCATAACATTATTTTGGCTACTAGATCTTGATAATAAATATTTTTACCTAGGTSCCATAGTTCCATGCACATCAACACTACCCTTTATTTCAGAAGCTATCTCCACAGAGAACCCCATTTTCCTCCTGTTCTTAACTGGCACAAATCATCAGCTGTGATTCAGAAGTCCCAGCAATTTACATATTTCTAAAACCACCTTAATCCAAAGCACTGAACTTCTTTGGCCCCAACATAATATGTCACAACATTTTAGAACAAGGTGCCTCTAAAGGTAAATGACCCTCATAAAAGCCAGGTGTACCTGTCTGTGCAACTGCATGTGCTTGGGCAACTCCYGATTCTTTTGAAGGAGAAAAACATAGTCTTGTCTCAGTGCACTTAACTCCTCTCTTTTCTTATTTTTCTTTTCTTCAGCATCCTTCATTTTCAATTCAAACTCCTTTTTCTGCTTGAATTGCTCAATACTGAAAATGCATAAAAAGGAAATGGTGTTATCTCAATGCAAGAGGAAAGATTAGTTTATACGACCTTTTAGATTTCGTTGATAGTCTTAAATTCACAGTGAATTCAATGGTTCTTAAGGTAATTTAGAAAGGAATCATCTTCTTGTATACTTGTACATTCCCAGCATCAAGGGGCTTTGACCTTTTGTTGTCTCTCTAGTCTGAAGTYAAGTCTCATAGTACAATATTTGAATCACTGCCACAGAAAAGTAGATTAAATTGAGGGAAAGGCTGAAAAAACTGTGTGCTTAACAAAGAAATTACCCAAATTCATGGTGATCAACTTCTCCCTCCTCTTTGTAGGCAAAAGAAATACATGGTCTGAGGAGAGAGCTACCAACACTTGAAAATCTCTTTCACCATTATCTAAGCATCTCTTACGTGTAGGCATCAGGATCCTTAATGTCTTCAATTGCCTTCTCCTTTTCAAGACCAGTCTGGAATAAAAATATTGTCTTGTCTTTAAACAAGCAGTAACAGTTTCAACAGATAATAAAGCTTTATAAACATTAAGACACAGCTCCCATCACCTTTCACCAAACCAAAAGAATTCTTCATTTTCAATATTACTATCTGGCCTTAAATATCAGATTTAAATTTTGAAGCAGAAAAAGCAATGAACCTGGTTTATACGTAAAAGAACTAATGAAACATTATGCTTAGGGACAGCAAATCCCATAACCTCCTCATTGGCATAAATCATTACATCATTGCTTGTCCTAACTTCACTCCATCCCATAACACCTTTGGTTCTCTAACCCCCAGACCCAATTCTCTTGTCTCCCCTCACTGCCACTTTGACAAGAGCCAACGTGTCCTGGGTTATTTCCAAGTTACATGTGTAATTAATCAGGTTGGCTTCTGCTGACTGCATAATRAATTCACAATCATTAGCTGTGAAGAATGACAGATGGATGGACATTGCAGTAGCACAAGCTTCATTTCCCAAGGCAATCATGCTCTAAAAAAAAGAGGGGGGACTATCACCCAACAATTTAGTTGTATTTAATTGATCTGTAATTTAACTCAATTAGTTTCAGATGATTCGTATTTGATTCTCTAAGAATCCCATTAAGTTTAATGAAKATAGAATTTTTAAAATCTTCCACATGACTCAAAACTAGAAAAGATACTTAATGAAGATTTACTTTGAAAAGGGAAAAACTCTGTTAGGATGGTCATTAAGCAATGTTGTCAGGCCAAATAATAGAACTGACCATAAAGGTCTTTATATAGAGCTGCTTACATATTCAAAAGTATAAATCTGTATACATGCTTTGTAATTCTATATTAAATAAATAAATATAAAATAAATAAATAAAATAAATATTCTATATTCTTGTAATACTGGGGCTAGCAAGGCTCTGATATCAAAAGTTCTAACCATTCACTTAAAGAAAATAATTCTAACTCTATTCTCAGTGCTATATATTCTTGTCATATTGGTAAAGAATTCCAGCTAATTATGAATAATTTAGCTGAATGACAAAAATCATAATTTTCTGTGTTGTCAAGCATCCTTCAAAATTGGTAACTGGTAGTTACCAAGCACTACTAAAATATATTTAAAAGTTTCATTCTAGGAATATGCAWGACTACACCTTTTAGTGGGAAAATACTGGTAGAATATTACATATGAACAACACATACTATGTTTATTTGGAGAAAACCACAAAACACTGAGAAGGAGCAGTGAGTCACAGAACCCATTTATTAGGGAATGTTTTGCAAGAGCTATTCTCCTAAATTTTTTGGGAAACTTCAGTTTTTGCTATGAAAGATTTTCAAGAAAAGTAACTGAACCATGTTTGCCCATCTGGATACTTTCATATCAAACACACCTAACTCAGTGAAAGAGTACAAACTTACCCTAGGAGGAGGGATTGTGACTTGGAGCTCTTTGGGAAGCTGTTCCTCTGACTGGATGTCAAATGTAAAAATGTTTCCATCTCCACCRCAGGTAATCAGACACCCATCATTGTGGCTACAACAGATCCCCTGGATCTGCCCATAATCATTGTCATGTACATTCAGGTACCAGTACTCCTTCAGGGCATTCACTGAGAGATCTTTATCATTGAGAGGATAAGCACGAAGTGAGCCATCCTGCATCCCACAGAACATCAGGGGCATCCTGGTACTGTTAAATAAACAACAAGAAACAGTAATAACGCAGCTTGTAACAAGGAAGCTCAAAATATGAAGAGTTAATCTAGCTTAATAGAAGTCACTTTCCCAAGTTTGGAAGCTGAGAGCAAAGTATTTGGACCATTTAAAGTATGTGTGATTCTACTACAAAATGTTTTTTCAGCTAACTGGCTTCTCAGGAACATTCCAGTTCTTACTAGTGTCTTAGAACTAGTCTCAGTCCTGAGTTGGGCAGTGTAGCAAACACCAAGTTAAAAGTTAGAAAAGTMATTTTTTCTTCCTGCTCCCCATTTAGTACAGATGGTGGTGAAKACAAACAGCAGTAGATTAAGACCTGCCTCCTTTTGGTGAAGAACATGCCTAGTCTTACAGGGGAACTTGACACTGGGAGTCTGAAAAGAATCCACCCTTTTCATTCACACAGTTCACAGGATGTTCTGAAAAGTCCATATTCTTAGCACAAGACAAATGGACTGACCTCTCCATGCTCTAATTCTCTTTGTTAACTATAATAAACTGCTGTTCTGGTGATCACTATATGCAGAGACTTCTAAGGGTTCTCCTGGAGTTCTACAATCTAGGATGGTTGAGTCCTGATCAATACTTAGCTAGTAATCAGACTTTTTCATCTTTGAAGATCTTTTTAAATTATTGTGTCAGACACATGGCCCAACTATGTCCATTAGGAATTTTAAGTGAAACTCAGTGCCAGGAAAACCAGAGAGAGTTCCTGCAGACTAGAGTTAAGCCATAATTAAAAAAGGACAAAGGAGTGYACACTCCTCCATTCCAAGCCCAAATTCATCAAATGTTATCCCAGAGCTATCTGTTACATTACAATGTTACCAGAAGCAGATTCGGTGAATGGGATTGTAATCCGTGTCCTGCATAGGAATCACTTCAAAGGGTTCATCTTTCCTCTTCTCAGGGTCTTTTGCATCACCATTTGAGAATTCACAATGATAGAGAAACCCCGAGTCATACCCACCCTGAAGAAGAGAAGGACCAWAAAGAAATGGTGACTAAAGAAAACTGAAGAAGCTGGCCAGATAAATGCAAATTTCAGAACAATTCTTCCTTTCTTAAGGATCTATGAGAGGTTAGAAATGTTTATTCCAAACACCTAGAGATCCTATTTATCCCCAGACAGAAGTCTGCCACGATCACTGGCATTAGAAGTCATTCCACCAATATGATAAAAATGCTACCTTCTGCTTGCAAGGGAGCAGCTCAGTTTTTGTGCCAATTCAGGCACCACCAAGTGGGGTACATTGGAAATCTACCAAACAATCTGAATTGGAGTGACACTACTGGTTTRCTTCACAAAAACTACTGAAACTGTCAAGGACRAAAGGAATTCARTGTCTTAGGGATTGCAGGTTTCAAAGGGAAAGGTTGTCACATCATGCAATCTCATCAAYATGAAGAAAAAACTRATTTACCAAGGAAAGCCAAAATTTTCCTGGTGCTGAATAAAAGCCACAGAGGATGGGACTGGGCTTCTCTGGTACGAAGATAGGTGGTAATGGCTCTTCTTCAGGTTCTTCTTCTTCAGTTTCTTCCACGTCAAGTCCCARCTCCTTTTGCTGCTTTATCCATTCAAGCCTTGCTTTCTCCTTCTCCTGCTTTYTTTTCTCTCTCAGTGCAATCTCCTCTTTCAGCTGTTACAACAAGCAGAGAAACAACCAAGACATGAAACCAGGGCACTCCACACATCACTGACAGAAGAAGACTCAGGAATTAAACCCAAGGTACTTCTGTCATTACACATACAGTATATATACAGAAATCTCTTTCCTGTTGAATAAGTAGAGATCAACTATGCTTTATGGGACTTTCCAGTAGAATGACCCTATTTTCCTCCACTGAAGTATTCACTCCTGGTCTTTTGCAACAAAAATAATTTTGCATGAGAAGCAGACTTCAACATTTCCTCAGAGAGATTAYTCCAAATCTTCACCACTATGCATTATTTCTGCAGAAGTCCTGCCCCCTGCATCCTCCAGAGCAAGGAAAGCACTGGAAAGCTGAACTCAGACAAGTACTAAGGTATCACTGGTATAGAGCAAAAGAGAGAAGCTATAATGCATTTTACTTCTTCTGAACAATGAAGGAAAGATTTATCAAACCCTTAAAACTCCCTCCCACTCAAGCCTACTGTACCATAAACAAGTATCAAACATTCTCTAAAATATTTCGGAAGATATTAGATAACCAAGTCAGCAAAGTGTTAAATATTATCAGCTAATTTTTGTCTGATTTACCTTTAAAAATCTCCTATTCTAGGGACTCTACAGACTATAAAAACCATTTTAGTGCTTCACCACCCTTACTGTGAGAAATCTTTCCTTGAATTTAAACGTCCTTGCAACTTAATTATTAATCTGTTTCCAGAGGAAAAAGAGAGCAATTAATATTCTTCCTCTCTGTAGAGATATTTTTTATATTTAGAGATTTAGAGTGTTTCTCAACATTATCCTTCTCATTTGACTAAAAAAAMCAAAACCGACCAACAAACAGAGAAAAAAGAAAACCAACAAAACTCTACACACATTCTTTTAATCTTTCCTTTCATATGCATGCTTTGTGATCCTTCTTATGGATGTTGCTGTGAAAAAAACACCTAGAGATCTTTCTCYTGGATGCTGACTTCCTCCAAGTTATAACATGAAATGAAGCTTTGGCTGACATTCAGTAACACAGGAGCAGTCAACAGAGAAGGCAGAGAATTCACAGATTAACAGAACCAGAGAGGCTGTTGGATTGTGGTGGATGGAATACAGAACTGAGAGTCTGCTCACTGAAGGTTTCCTCCTGAGCCTAAAATCAGCTTGCTTTTAGTTTCAAAAATTATCTGTTATTCTGAATTGGCATAACTCTTTTCCTTTGTTCTCACATGTTCTTTTTAAATACTCGTTGTCATTCAGAAATGAAACATGTACCTTTAAACTTAAAACATTTTACAAAAATCAGAAATACTGCTAAAAAAAGAGATGTTTCATGTTTGCCTCAAGGTGACTACATGGGGGTTTTATAACCATTGAAAGGAATTTCCTATAAGGCCAACAAGAAGCATTTTTTATGTTAAAATTACTAAGATTATAATATTTTGAGAACTAATGCACTATACTACCTTTCCYGTTCTCTAATGATGTCTTCTAATTATAATCAAAATTCACAGCATGCTTTCAGTGTGATGTAGGTTCTATTGGAATAAACCAAAACCAACTTGTAATTTCAAGCCACAAATGGCTTCTGCACGGCATTCCCTTTCAAGTAGCTAGGCAAAAATCCTATGATGCAATATAGGGACTAGAAACCCTTTAGTGAGTTTTGTCACCTGGCATAATGAAGAAGGTGAAATTCTGCCAGAGGAGAGTTTTTTACCTTTATTTGGGATTTAATACTATAAAAACGGAAGTACTGCATTGGGAGGTCTTTTATCTCATAGGAGGGCACCTCCTGCTTCCTGGGGGGAGGGGCAGGAACCTGGACAGCAAAGCCATTCTCACAAAGGATGAGCAGCATGGTCTTCTTCTGTATAAAAACACAAAAAATACAAATAGAGGTGTCTTGGGTTGATTTTATGATAACACTCTATTCCTATATTCCGTCTGCTTGTATGCCCAAAAGGCACCTGTGCCTTTAAACCTGACCTGGAAGAAGGGGAAGGGACGGTTGGGAAGGCAGSRTGGGCAGTTAAAAGCWGGGGCAGCTGTGCAGCCGTTTGCTTTTGGAGCTCAGCTCTGTGCAGGAGTTCTGCTCGTTGTGTGCAGGGGGGTTATGTTGTTGCTGCTTAGCTCAGGTTTGTTAGCTTGGGCAAACAGCTCTCCCTGGACTGCCACCCCTTCTACGACTCCTGTGATTTTCTTTCTGGAGTGGATCGGCAGGGCTTTGGTCCGAAAAACTGAGAAGCAAGTGCTGATCAGCCAGCGGCTGGCGGGGACAAGCTGTGCTGCTCTGTCTCGTCCCAGACTCCAGAAGAAGCCAAGCCGGCGACAGAAAAGCACCGAGGCCTCTGTTTCATCCACAGTGAGAAAAGAACTGCCACCAGGTTGCCACTGTTGCCCAAGTGGCCACGTGGACTTTTTCTTCTGTTTTTTTTTTGTTTGTTTGTTTGTTTGTTTGTTTTTTTTTCCTGGAGACAAGAGCTGCGCCATCTTTTCTCCGCACCACATGCCAAGTGGCTGTGGGGAGAGGGGGTGGCGTGCGTTTCTGAGTTTTAAATATCCAACAGTTACTCAGTTTCTTTAATCTGTGTCCTGTGGGCACCTTGTTTTGTTAATAAACTATTTTTTTCTTTACATTCGCCCAAATTCCTGTTTCATATTGATGAGAAAAAATTATCAAAGTTTTCATTTCAGAGGAAACATTTATCCTGTAATGTTTCTCTCTGAAAATATTGTCTCAAACCAAGACAATAGGGCAGATGTATAAATGGAATTGAGACAAATGGGAGGATAAGTTAGTCAGCAGATGCACAGGCACAAAGCCAAACTTCAGCCACACTTACCTGTGCTTTTATTTCAATGAACACTTTTAAATGGACATCAGAAACCAGTGAGCTTCTTTTATGCTGGTCAAAGCTAAGGAATTGAAGAAATCTTTGCTGTGTCCAAACCAGCTATAATTTTGACACTRCTTAGCTTGAAAGCAGCATGATGATATTTTGGGAATTTGGTTAAATTTAAAGATGGATTTGACCCAAGAGTTAGGAACTGAGGTTTTGGGTTGATAATTTCATATTTTTCCATACTAATAAATCTTTTATATCATCAAGACTTGGCTCAGAGTCTTGCCAAATRCTACTTACCTTTCAGTTGGTTTGTKTTTYGCTGGACTTTGACAAGTCCTTTAAAACACAAAGTTAGGAAGAACTGGTAAGATCAGGGTAACAATCATTCAGTGTTTGAGATTTCAAAAGACAAGTCTCTACTTAGTTTCAGTTTTCATAAGCTATCTGGAGAAGAGAGGCTTATTTTATCTGACCCTTCACTAAAAATGTACAGAGAGGGCATATTAGAGTTGCTATGGAAACCCTACATAGGGTTCTTGTTTCTAGAGGATCTCAATTTAAAAATGCATCCACTAAATGTAAYGTATTTAATCACTAAAGTGCTTTTTTAAAACAAGAAAGAAAGAAGCAGTGTGACACTCAGATGCTGGCACTATGTTTAGCAAGTATTCTCAGTCTGCAATGGAGGCCAGATACTGGTAGACAAAATTACTCTGGCAGAATGTAATATCCAAGCCATGATGGATCCTCTTTTAGTAAGGAGGAGTATCTTGTCTTCAAGAAGAGGACTCAAAATGTGTCTTGTCACATCAAGGTCTGTTGTTTCTGCAGTAAGACTGAATTCACACCACCAAGAGTTCTTTTGCCAGCAGGGTTTTTATAAGTTCTAATTAACAAATGAAAATACCAACACTTTGCTACTATGCACCTTAAAATGTATCTTGTCAGTATCTAAATATAATGAATAGTYTGTCCTCTAAATCAGCATGCTGGTCCAAACAAAATTTCAGATGTTTCACTAACCCTAGAACATTTTTAAATATTAGCAAGAAACTATTTCAGTATGTCCCGACACATTTCAAACACAGAATGTGAATTCCAAGAATCATCCAAATTCTTTCTTAATCTGGTCAAAAAGCTTTGCAAAAGCTGGTTTTAATATGGGCAAGAGCCACTGGCAATAACACCCAAATAACTTTTTTGTCAAAGAGACTAAGACAGTCAAGGGCTCAAAAAGCATACCAAAATCTTGTGGTTTGCATTATCCAAAACCCAAAATATGCCCAAAGTGACTGACCCAGCGATACAGCCACACAGAACCTGTTGGAATCTGCCATGATGAAGCAGCATGAAGAACAAAGYAGCAAAACATTGTGCTGTCTATAGAGAACAGGATTAGAGTTGTGGATATTCACCTGTTTTGCAAGTTCTTTTCAAAATAATACATTAACACTGTAGGGAAGGAAARAAAACAAATATGCATTACTCACATGAGTAGATGGAGACCACTGTAATGTTTGTACAGGCCCAGGGACATAGATGAATCCAATGGGCTTGTATTCATCCTCAATAGCAAAAAAGAAAACTGTTTTGTCTTTACTCTGAGGAAAAACAAATAAAAATGATGACTGAATCAAAGCTGACTAAAAAATTCAAGGGACTCTAAGCACTTTATAACATAAGYACACACTTCCCTTTTGTTTTTGTGGTTAAACGGGGAATTTAGGACTGGATTTCCATGATGGTTAATGGAAGGAAATAGAAATCCAGCCTGTGTTGCTCCAAGAAATATGTTGCACCCATGGGTCTTAACTGACCTCATGGGCCTCCTCTGGCATCCCCAGCCACGTGCTTTCTGCCCACTGTCCCAGGAGCTCCTTTAAATCTCAGGCTCAGACCTGATTTTTCAGATAAGACAGCACAAGCTGATTTCYCCAGATAACAAGAAAATCCAGAACTGGTACACAGCATGATTCATGGTAGCTTAAATCCTACATTAAGTGAAATGCATGGCAATTCAGCTCAAGGGTAACTGCAAATGCACAGATCATGGCTAAGGACTAGCTTTTAAAAAAATATACCCCATTAACTGAAAATCATCTCAAAGACTTCCAGGTCTAATGACAAACTGACTGACTGACCCTGTGATAAGGCCAAGCAGTGCTGGGTAGCTGGATTGCTGCCAATGTGGTGTATCAACAGACTTTATTTTACTAATTCCAAGATCCTACGAAACTAATTCCAAAATGAATCAAATCCATCTTCAAAGGGGATTACAGAATTCATACCAAACACTCCAGTAACTCACAAAATGAATTGTGTGAATTGCATGGTTGCTTTCCTTCAGCAAAACAGATTGGGGTGCAAACAGATCCTTCGCCCAGCACTGCACAGAACTACAACAAGCAATCAACCACAGCAACAGAAGTAAAACTGTTGTCAGTAAGCAAACCTTACCTTGTGTCTTTAAATAAACTCTACATTTGTGGCTTAATAAAAATAACCAAGCTAAATGATACATACCCCTGTGGCAAACATATGTCCCTCTTGTTCATATGCCAAGGCTGTGACTGCCGCAGAATGGGGTTTGAAAACTTGTTTCAGATTTATCTCTGCATTCTCTTTGGCTGGTTCATCACGATCAGGAAGTARTTTGGGATCATAAACCTCAATTATGCGGACAACACCATCTTCAAACCCCACAGCAATTTGACCTCCTTCACGACTTACCTTTAAGTGAAATTAAGAAAAAAAATCACAGTGTACATCTGAGAGCTTAGAAGAATAATCCATATAGCACATACTCTGGTGTTTACCTGTAACTCATCTTACATGGWAGTGATGAYAAAGYACAAAGAATATTYCAYACACTGGAAATATTGTTTATTSTCTCWAATACRSTGCCATAAAGGACAAGAGAAGAKTGGAGGCCRTTTCTTGGGTTGGATTGTGCTTTGKTTTTTTTAGTGATAACATGCCATTGAGACTGAAAATGTTAATGAGAATGTAGTTGTAATGTCTGAGGGAAAGGTAATTCATACTGACATAAAGATATATCAGCAGCTTTTTAAGGAGAAGAGTTTGAACTCAAAAAAAGAGTTATACTACCCTGAATATAATATGGGGCACCRAATGTAAGTATGATTTTTGAAGAGGTCAGGGTACAGGCTTGCATCTCCATGGAAAGTACAGGAGTCAAYAGGGACAGCTACTGGAGATGGAAAGGAGGAGGTGTCTTTACCAGTAAGTCGTCTAGGGAAGTCAATTGCTAATAACTGAGACAAGCTTGAACTGTGATAAAGGTCAGCAGAAACAGGCCTGTATGTTAGCTGAAAATAGCCAGACTTGTGGATTTAGATGATATTGGCCATACACAATAGTGTCTTGAAGTCAATTACAAGCTGACTTGTCACTGTTCACTGATTTAGCAGGTATATTGMTAGCTTACCTATGAGATTATGGTGTATAGATGCCTCAAAGTATGTTGGACTAAGTTTTCTTAGATTAATAGCACAGATTTTCAAATACACTTGCACACTCTAAACTTTGTCTAAGTATATAATGGGATTTTAAAAGGGATTTTAATGGGATTTTAAAACTGAGTCAGTTTTGTGATGCTGTACAATTTATTGTGGCAGACAGCTTACCTCATGGATGTATAGGTCATCAATAGACAGCATCTCTGAAAGTCTGCATGATCAGAATTATATTTTCATAAAATATTTATTTTTGTAAAATAAAAGGACTCTCCCAGTGGAACCCTCACCTTGAACAGTCAAGTAATTATTTTTCTCCTAAATTTGCTTATAATTTGCTTATAATTAACCCACCAGGCTTGCCATRTTTTCTCAAGAACATAACGAGACACTATTTTAATTAAAATTAGCAAATATGTCTAAAAGTGATAGACTCCACACTCCACAAATGATCAGTTCTGGCAACAGTTTTTTATGATTTATCTCCAAATGTTTGTGATTTGTCTGGGCTGTCATTTCAAAATGTGTTAACTAGCTCATGTTAATTGACAATTGCTCTGTGTGGGTTAAATAGAAGCTGTTAGTCTATAAAYTCAAGACTACTTCCCATACTGCACACTGAGATCTGATTTTAGAATCTTAGGAAGGCACAAAGTAGGATACCTGATAAYCCACAGTAAAGTTAAACTGTACCCATACTGTACACAAACATACTACCCCACAAACTTTTATACAGATAATGTTACATTGAATTCCACCATGGCCTAACAAGTGACCTCTAATGTCATGTTTGGTGAGCAACTCTCTGGATKCTGGCAAGCTCATAGATCCTTGATAAATTTTTGCTGTCATGCTAGGAAAAACTCACAACAGCTGGTGCCCATGTCAGCGCTGTTCCTCCCTGTTTAAATTTGATTACACTCAGTTGGCTGTTGTTGTAGAAGTCATAGATACGCACTGACCCTGTGGGGAAATGAGACAGTAAGAACGTATTTTTTGCAGTATCACTTACACGTAAGGGTTTATGGAGAAATATCTATTTATTTGAATTGAAATCTGGATAATATGTATGCTTTCTCTTTTGAGTAACAAAATGCCTGCCTGGAAAGAACTGATGATTAGAGTATCATGGTTAGCATGGTTCTCATGAAAAAAACACACAATTTCTTCACTCTTTAACTTACACAGAACCAAGAGCTGGYGAGRCTGAGGGTTGTAATAAGAAGTCCCMTGCTGACAATCCACATGAAATTTTCAGGTAAGCACAGTATTGAGGCATACTGTAAGGAAAATCTGTACTCACAACACAGGAAAAGATGATATGCTACTACTTGGGACTGTCTATGGAGGAAGTCATTTTAAGGGGGAGAAATATAGGAGATTGTCCACGAAAGATCCACTTTTACCAGAGATAAAATTAACAGATTCGTAAGCAGACATATTGGGTTGCATGAAATTCCATTCCAGCTGGCATGTATCTGAAATGTTGTTTGTTCAACTGGTAGGAGTTTGTCTTCAGGCTAGAAGAGTATRTGCATTGTATAACACAGACAAATTACAAGAATTGAGTTAAAAGACCGTGTGGCATTTTCTGAGAAGTGTAAATGACATTGCTAATGCTCTGGCCAGTAGTTCTGCTTTCAAAGCACAATAAAGCTAAGAGTGAGAGGCCTAAACAGCAATATTTATACAAGTTAAATTAATATATCTGTAATTACATGTTATTTGTTGTTGAGAGCATAATASATACTGATTTTCTAAGAAAGGCACAAACATTAGTATTTGCAATGGCTTACACAATGCTAGAGGTGTATGTAATTCCTTACAAAACAAAATCCCAACACTTATTAATTCTCAGCCCTGAATACAAGTGCTGTTACTCAAACCAGATGTTCTCATCTTTTCAGCCATTCCTTCAGAATAAATGATTTACATAGTTTCTCTGCAAAACTCCTGTTGCTAAAATCCCAGGTTTTTAAGATGAAGCAGTCTTAATGCACWGTTTCAAAACATTAACCATTTGTCTTTACTTTTAAAGAACTGATCCCATTAACAGCAATTGTGTGTAAAGTGACTTTGCAAGAGCAAATGTACAAAYACAAAACACAGTAGTTCTAAACCAAACATCCTTACTCTTCAAAACCAATAAATGCAGTGGTATGAAAGGAAAGCAAAAGTGCACTTACGGTCGAGAGCTGTGGTGGCCATCAGGAATGTAAAGGGAGAGACASCAATGGCCTCAATCCTCCCAGAGTGGAACGTACACACACGTTCTGGGTCCAGGGACTGAGGTGCAAAATAGAAGAGAAATTTTGCTGTGTTCTGTAGCTGTGGTCTCAAGCTTGGGCTTATGCTGCCTGGAAAATCATTTCATTATCCAAGGAATTCTAAGTTTTGCTGTAACTTTTTTTACAATAGTTTTTTATAGTGTACTTTTTTATTTACCATAAAATTCTAGGAACATACTTTACTTTTCACAATAAAATTTTATTCCACCCAAGGGATTACTTGGGTAATCCCATTTACTTTAATATGTTCCAGAGCAAAACTTAAATGCCCCCYTTTTTACCTCTGTCATCTATTTCTMCACCAAAAACATCTCCAGCACCAATACTAGTTACCAGTAGGATAAAACATGTCAAGAGTTTTTCATCTTCTCCTTGTATTTTTCTTTTTTTCCCTGTCATTTAGAAACTACAGGAAGGATTGGTTCAAACACCTATCTATGGAGGATATATCAACACACCTTGAACTCACTTCCTGCATCCATGCAACTTTCAATACCAGTTTATAATAAAACACCTTTAAAGTAACTTGAATTTGACAGCTAAAATTTCAGGAATCAAAAATCAAATTCCTTTTTATCATCCGGTACAATCATTATAATCAATTACATTTGAAAATTTTTATGCAATAAAATATCTGTTTCAATGCTATARTTTTCTGCTGTGCAACTTCATGAAACACAAATTTCATGGCAGATTCAACCAGTATAGTTACTGGTTGAATTGTTATTGCAAAGGAACTGAAGAAACCAGAAGAAAGAAAAAACAACCTCACCATATTTGTAAAAGTCAAATCCAGTTTCCATATTGTTCCACTTGTATCCTGAAGAAGAAAAAACAAAAATTGAACATTTTCACACTCGATTTGGAAATAAAACTGCATCTGGTGACTTCTTAAAAACCCCTTAATGATTATCATTGCGAAACAGAAATTACTAGATGCAATGACATTGGTCTTATTAATCCCATCCATGAGTTCAGSGTAATAGAACTTTGACAATACTTATTGGGAATCTCCTTATGCCAGAGTCTCACACATTACTGTACACTAAAAACACAGCATAGCATAACAGAGCATAATTCAGTTGGAAGGGACCTGCAAGGATCATCTAATYCAACTCCCTGATCATTTCAGCGCTGACTAAAAGTTAAGGCATACTATTAAAGGCCTCTATTAAATGCCTTTTAAACATTGACAGGCTTAGAACTTAAACTACATCTCTAGGAAGCCTGTCTCAGTGTTTGAAATAATAATAATAATAATAATAATAATAATAACAATAATAATAATAATAATAATAATAATAATATCTGTAAATAGATAGCTAGATAGACAGATAGATAGATAAGAAGCTTTTCTATACATCCAGAGGAAGACTAAATTTTATGCCAAAAAGAAACACACTGATTTGTAATGGACTCCTGCTGTTACTTATCATCACTTCCCTCATCCTGTGTTTGTCCACAGGGGTATATGTACTTAAATGTGTCTTACCTGAGCATACCAAAAGACCTGTTCATGGTCAACAATTTTTGTCATGAAATTCAGGCTGACATTCTTGCCAATCCAAAGTTCACTCATAGGCTCCACTTCCAGTAACCCTGTTTCATCCACAGGATCAGCAGTRTCTATWATCTCRAAGTTCCACACCTTYGTGGCATTGGAAGCATTWAAAAAGAAAAAAAAARGRRAAAAAAAARMWTTTTTTMATAAGGCCAGGTTGGTTTMAYACAMAATTAATATGGAAATTCAAAATTAYAAGAAAGCAAAATCACTGCTTTGAATGTAACCTAGAACAGTGAAAGGAGCTTAAATTCAGCCCAGGCAGAACAAAAGTATGGGAAGTCTAACCCTTCCATGTTCTGCTCTGAGGGATAAGAACAAGATATCAGTTARCACATTTATAATGAAGTGAATTTTCCTAATGGGGTAATACCAACCTATCAAAAACAATAACAACAACACTGTTTGAAACCACTGACTATAGGTCAGTTTTCCATTGATTATCTGGGTCATTTCACACATCAGCAGAGGACACGTCATGTCCTCCCTAAAAGTGCAGGGAAATAAGATTGCAAAATTCTTCATCATTGACAGGTGAGATCAGAAACTGGTGCTATGSATAAGGAAAACATTTTGACCTTAATTTATAGAATTATATGTTACCTTCAGGATGTTTTTTTCTTTTAATTATCCCCCTCCTTCAGGATATGTATCTCTGAGATGTTAATTTCTGTGTCATTTTAACATTAATAATCTGAGCTTTCAAACACTCAGAAAAATAATTTCAAATATTCCTGTAGATTTTTAATCATCTTTGAAATAACACCATGTGTTAATAGGCCTGAAAATTATAAAGGTGAACAAAAACTAAACATGAATAAAATGCTAGAATACAGTCAAGAACAAAAGTATTAGAAAACCACTGAAGATTATCTTGATTTACTAAAGTAAAAGCTGATTCATTTATTACTATTAAACAAGGAATACTGTGTACCATGCTATCCAATTCAAACATACACACTGTGGAGATGTGCACTTATTTTCTTTGTTSTAAAAATTAATTTTCAGAAAGAAACTGCACTCCAAAATTTCCTCAAAAAACCTGGTAAAGGAAATATGTAACATTTACCTGCTGACCATACATCTGCACACCTAAAGGCAGAGCAAAAGAAAAACTCACCCGAATGWAACCATCTTTTCCAACAGAGTAAAKTTCTCCTTCATCAAGAACTATCTGGTTGATAGGGCCCTCGTGACAGGGCTTCTGTCCAGCTTGACAGAGCTCTACTTTAATGAGGCCACCTTCCCAAAGCAGAAAATTGCCCCATTCAGTTCCTGAGAGAACCTTCAATGCAAATGAAGATAAGTATATAAGCACCTGCTTGTAATTGTGCAGAAATATGAGCAAGAACCCAGTTAATATTTGTAGCTTCTGTCCATGAAAGCATTAAATCAATAGCAAAGAACAGACATGTGCAAGAGAAAATGTAAAGGGTGAGGAGGTTCAACTTTTTTGCAATGTGACATAATTTGCATGCACTGAAATGGTTGAAGATTAGGACCAACAGTCTCTTTGTATTTCTGTACACTCATATTTTCACTACTCCGTTAGAAGACACTCTGCTCTAAGCCAACATAGGTCTTTTCCCTGTAAATTACAACACTAACTGTATTTTCCAATTATTCCTAAGTAAGGCAGGTTTTGGGGAAATTGATGCCAATATTCTGTTATCAGAACAGTGCATCATGGGCCTGAATCAAACCACTTTGAAAACAGCAACTCTTCAACTCACAAAGCAGACTTTATCAAAGCCTAAACGGGCACATAGTATTTTTTTCTTTTTTGTCACTTTTTGTTACTAACCTTCCCATCGGGCAGCTCCACAAAACCTATAATGTCAGACACTGCTGTTTTTCCAAACCTGCCCAAAGCACCTTGTAACTTGAGACCAGTTAATGTGAGAGCCATCTTCCAGAACCTGAGTATAGAAAAAAATATCCCTGTGTGATACAAAGTTTGCCAGACACTGTTCAGTCCCTCTTAGASGTTGCAATATTCTTACCAGGCATGCCTAAAAGGCAAGGGTTACTCAAGTAATTACTCTTTCTCACAGGGGAACTTGGTTTTATTTCCTTTTGAAAATGAGACAAAGCTTTGTAACTATGCAAATATTTCCCTACACTACTCCTGTGAAAAAACTAGCAAAATAATTTGGAATAGGTAGAATGGAGATAAAAAACTACTTTTCAAAATTAAGAAGTGTAAAACCCACAGCTACATCTTTCTAGCTAAAACCCATACATGTGTTAGGGTTACCTATCTTATTCTTGCTGTCTCAACTGTATGTAAATCTCAGCTTTGTAAATCTAAGGGACTGTGGKCTTCACTGAATRTCCTCCAAGTCCTCTTGTGGAATTSAACTGTASTATAAAATCTMACTGAGACAAARGCTTTATCYCAAATATYAATAGTTATTTCTATTTGATCATTAGTATAAAATATAACTTTCAATTGCTGCATTGCAGAAAAATTAATATTTACTCAATTAGGGATGGTTCACTGTGTGTGTARGAGACATTACAATTAAGATAAATGTAGGAAATTGTAATTTGAGTCTACATTTGGGTGAAAAGTCACATTTATTAAGYAACAAAAGCTGTGTCAGAGTTTATTTGTAGTATTTTAGCTCAAAAGAAAGTTTTTAAAAGTTTTTTTTTTGACAGATTTCCATAAATAATGCATTCWAAACCACATTTGTTTTGTGTCTAAATAAGTAATTTGCTATTTCATACCTACATTGCAACCAAACTATAAAGCAAATCTCATATTTTGATTTGATTCCCCTATTAAAATTCAAAGTAACTTAGGATGCATTATAATTTTAAAGGTATCATTTTTATTACAATAGAATCCCAGTCATATTATAAGTCTCTGCTGTTTTAACATCTGAGTACTGGATAAACACAGAACACAAAACAAAAGTTTGAAGTCGTTGAGTATTTGGTTCTTTTTACAAAAGGATCCGTGAACTTAGCAGGGAAAGGAATGTATGGAAGTGTATCTTGTAGGCTTTTGGTGGGATCAGAGGGTTTCTGATCCATGACTTAGCAGCCAGCTCTAAAGGCTGTCCAAAGAGCACATGAGCTCAAGAAATCAAAGGTAGAAAGCCCATAAGGCTCAAAAGACATATCCTATGTTACCAGCTAGAAGATAGATATATATATATATACATAAATAAATATTTTTCATATGTGCTTATTGAAATTACAAGAATGGAACCAGTGATACTGACATTAAACATCAAGCATCATCCTTTTTGGATAGAAAAGGTACTAAAAGATTTGTTTGACTGGGAGGAGGAMTTGAAATTCCTCATTTTTATAATTGTAATGACCAGGTAAAATAGTATTCCTCATTGGTCCATGTTTACTAATGATACATTCTTTTAGTCATGCCCTATATATCATAACTTCAGAGGTGTTACGCATTAATTGTAATCAGCAAACCTACTTGATGTGTCCTGAACCAGATGAAGTTAGATGCTCTTCATTCTCAGCAGAAAACATGACCCTGTAAACATCCTGTGCAAAAGCTTTTGACCTCAACAGAATCTCTTCTTGTTTCCAGTTCCAAATAGTCAGCATGTAGTCAGGGGTGCTCCCAACACTGGCCAGCAAAGAGCCATCATGGTTGAAATCRCCAAAAACATAGGCTGTCTCTGTTCCACCTAAGGAAATGTAGAAGCCTTAATACACATGCAGAGGAAAGAGATAGAAACAATACCAAAATCTACTCAGAAAGAGCTCACTGAATTTTTTGGTTTTCCATAGGTAATGGCTCTAGGTTGGCTAYCTCTTTCAAAAAGAAGTTTCTTCCCAATATTTTCTATTTTTGCTGTAAAGGACCAAAAGATTCAATTTCCTTCTAAACTAAAAATGATCCACTACTCCATCTGCTGGGATCTTTAAACACTAGTCCATCTGTATAAAATGAAAATAGAACTTTTTACACTACCTTTCATTATTCTGTAGGGCCTCAGTGAAGGATATGAGTAGATGACAAGGTTTGGCTTCCCTCCYTTTTCTCCTACTGCAAAGTACTCCCTAGTAGGGTGTGCCTTGAAAAAGCAAAAGTCCTGTTACATGCTGTAATTACACCTTTGTATTTATCCTGCTMGTTATTAAGTTATTGTATTTGCTCACTCATTAGTCAAAACATACTAGATTGCCATAAACAGTAAATTGCATTTTTCTGGGTATTTATTTTGAACAACTGCCAACCCAGTGCTCAATATCAGAATGAAGACACTATGCACACAAAATTGTATATCACACATGTACTGTGGAACCATGACAAACTGTGAAACAATTTGCTTTGTGACACATCCTTCTACTATTCCTATCTCACTCAATCCACTAGCTAATCTTTCCATAGCAGCATTTCTGTCAGCAGTTACCCACTTCAGCAGACAGCTGCAGAAAAGCCATTCTGAATGACAATATTCTGAAGGTGTAAAAATTTATGCTGATTCCCCAGAACAGGCTGCTTACAATGAAGCAGAACAGTCTGAGGCTGTTAGCTTGAAAGCCTGCAACAAAACCGAGAGAAGGCAGAGTTTTGACAAGGTAAGGTGCTTCAAATTCAGAGACAGGTCTTGAGACTTCAAGGTCTTGGTAAGTTTAGCAGAGTGAAATCAGATACTTTTTCTCTTCATTTGTGTAGGAYTTTGATTTTCTAAATTTTAATTGCAAGTAAGCAATTAAACTGATATTAGTATCAGTTGTGACTAGGACAGAAGAAGTGTTAAAAAAAATAAGAATTGCTATGAGCCAAAAGATTTAAATTAGAATGTAATAGTGCTAAAAATTAATCCCAGCTGGAACTTGTCAGTCCTTTTAGGTACCTGAGCCTGGGACTGAAGTGTGCAGMTATTTTTCCTCTGCCAATTATACTGATGTGATGAGAAGCCCACACTGCATGGTCCACACATTCCTTTAATCAGTACCGTACTTTTTATGTCTGTGCAGCTGTAGAAATCTCCCATACCCGGCAACAACAACCAAGCAAGTATTTTTTTCTTAGGAAATGACTAAAGTTCTTAAACATAAAACAASAGCCATACTGTAATAAACCCAATTCCATTGCCACAGCTGCTCCGGATGTATCTCTGATGGTTATTTTTCAGGTTCTGGAACACCACCTGGTTGCCTGCTATATACACCACAGTGTGGTTATCCATCATCATCAGGTTTACAGGTCTGGTACAGTCATATCCAAAAGAATGTCTGGGAACAATCCAATAAGGAAAAGATTAGACACTGGCTTTGTAGAAAGTTTCCTAAGAGGACAGAAATGCTTAAACTGAAACTGAAATGGGAGTAYTGAAACTAGTGACTAAGCCTGAGGGCAGGAGATAGTTTTCTTCAGTATACAGTGAAARTAAAATATCAAGAATCTATAAGTGAGAGGAGGGCACAGGTAAAGGCCTTCTTAAGTTCATATTCCATCCTTTCATGTCCACTATAGGTACACCTCTTTCTTCTACTGGATCATCTGGAGCTGCAAGGAATTAATATTATATCTGTGTTCTCTTTTCAGAGGAAATGTAAAAGATGTGCATCAGATTACCAGGAAATATTCTGCAGACAACAGATCAAGCCAACCAAGTTTTCAAGCTCACTTCTTAAYTGTTTAGAGGCAGATGTAGGAAAGGGAAAATCCTTCAAAAGCAACTGAATTGTGTCTGCAGAGAAAACCACCAGCATATATGAAAGTCACATATCACATCCTACTTGAATATACCATACCACGACTTTATTGTAGCTCTTAACTGATGGTTATCACTTCCTTCATTCTACCAGTTTAGATCTCCTRAGTACCAGACTACAAATCTACCTGGCTCCTTTCCCACTTCTCTCTTATGAGGGACACAGAAGCTCTTCTGCCCTGCTCTTGGCTTCTTGGGGAACACCGGTGTGGCTGCAGAGAAAGGAGAGCATTGCAGGGCGCATTCTTATGCTGGTCACATTAGCTTGTCCATTATCCAGTTCTACAGGAGTACATAAGCACTATGCCCAGTAAGAAATGTTTATTTCTTAGACACAAGAACACAAGACACAATTTAAGATTAAACTCACTCAGACCCATAAATGGTTAGAATTTTTACCTGTGTCTCAACCAAAGGTACCCCACTAATGTCACACAGGCTACTCCAAATTTGACAAATACAATTTTAAGAACGTATATTTAATACCATTAGCTTTGAATTTGCTCAGCAGAAAGGATACTTAAAATTAAGAAGTTCAAGGGATATCTCAGTGGTGTCTGTGGCATATGGTCCTGAATACACATCTGCATACTCATAGAAGAAGGTTTCCGGGATTGTCTTTTTTACCTCCTCAGGTGTTTTTTCTTCTTCTGAGGGTACTTGACCATCATCTTGTTCTTCTGAGGGTACTTGATTATCATCTTGTTCTTCTGCACTGCCTTCTGCATGTCAGAAGGGGGAACATAACAGAAATTTATATTCTTGCTGATATTTGCACCTAACCATAAMAGGGAAGGAGTCACAATTTTTTGTCTCCTTTGACAGAGCAATAAATATTTTATAGATCAAAACAGGGGTTTCATGTCTTAGTAACTACTAGTCCTGGGACAATGTGTAACAAACACTTCCTCAGGCTTTTAAAAACTTTATTGCAAACACTCAAAACTCAAGAATTTAAACAAGAAAAATTTTGAGACTGAGAAATATTGATTTTAAAATTTAAATACTTACCAAAGCAATTGAGTTGAGGCTTGCTTGATGTTTAGGTCTCTATTTTAGAAACCAAATTTTAAAGTGTCTCTTTCCAGTAGCTATTGAATGCACATTGTTACACAAAACAATTAGTAAAACCACATATAATGGACCACCAGAAGACACCATTGTCCTCAATAAACCAAACTGCTAATGTGTGACCCAGGGTAGCTCTTCTCTGGATTACAATGCACAATACTGTCAATGTGACTTCCAACTAGTCATAAGCACTTGTTAAAGTAGTTTCCAGTTGGATATCTCAGGTTAAATCTATTTTGTAAGCTTTTCATGCTGTTCTGACTGTTTTCTCACCCGGGTGTGCCATGAAAAACAAGCAAAGGGGTCTGAGACCAGCCAGGGGAAAAAGCAGAGTTAAGTCAATTGAAAAGGAGGACAAATACTCAATCACTGTAACTTGATAGCAAGAAAACTAGAAAGTAATGGGGGGTTTAAGTTTGTGCCAACATCTCCTCAGTGGACAGCAGTTCTCAGCAATGCTCTCAGCATCTAATTCCACTTGCTCCACTTCTTCCTTCTGTTCCTCTGCCATTGGTGATTCTTTTGAAATATTAGGTTTGTTTTCTTTTTCAAAATATAATTGGTATTGCTCTCATAGGTATGAATTCCTTTGAATAATTTGCTCATACATGCCATATCAAATAAATTTATAGTTCTGTAGCAGTAAAAGAAGCTCCTCTGTCCAACAACACACTTCCCACTGTTTAGCATTAAGCATAAGGAAAAGTTTGCTTCCAAAAATCAAYCATTTAAAGCTATGGGGAAGGAAAAAATCACATCCTATAACAGAAAAAAGGTGTAATAGGAGGATCAAACAAATACCAAAAGTTATGCAGCAATGCATTAAAAAATTCTTTCAAAGTGGATACTGTTATTCATGCTACCTGGATCTAGTGTGTTAGATGACATGCAGAACACCTGAAATAGACACTGCACAGGCATTTCAAGAAGAAAAATAGGTTAAAAAGAAAAATATAGGCCTCTGACTGAAAGAGTCTGGTGGAGTTAAAAACACGATTTAGAGATAGGTCTAAGTAGCAAAATTTTTCAGCTGAGGGACTTTGTGAGCTGAGGGACAGCAGGAACAGCAGGCACAGTGCTTAGTCCAGAACTTCACTGTGACCAGAGTCAAAATAAAATTTGGCAACACTGTGAGCAGGAACTGGAGATAAACACTTACTAGTAAGGAAGGGGTGAATTGTGGAAGAAGCCAGAAGTTACTGTAGGTTCAATATTGAAATCACACTATAATGGGGAAATACGAATACCTTCTGCTTGTTCCTCATTGTCTCCCTCCTGTTCCATTGGAAAAGATGCAAGTCCTCTCTCCCTGGCAGTGATAAAGAGGAACYTTTAGTATTTTTGCCTTTATTTGCCATTAAGACCACTTTCATTTYTTTTCAAATGCTTTGAGATTTCAAAAGATGGTATTTGTCTTCTGCTTCCACACAAAACAGATAACCCAAAGAAATGTCCTACTTTGCAGAGTGAATAAAYTGGCTCAGGTTTTAGGACTCCAGGCTCTTAATAAATTGCTACAGCAAGACTTTCATCTAAACACTGGGGGGAACTGACGACTAAATTAAATATTTTGAGCTTCTCTTTAATATACTGGGAGGACATTTGCTTATTTGCTTTTGAGAAAAGGCTATTCCTTCACCYTTCTGGTGGACTTCAAAAAATATCAGGAGACAGACATTCTGAGATTAYCTAATATCTTGAGTGGAAGAGCAAGAGAGATGAATCTTTAAGAAAAAAAGGACTTTCTTCAAAATATTCTATAATAATGATAAATATTTTTTTAATTAACATTTAAAAAAAAAAACATTGAACAGCTCAACAGCTCCCTCACATGAGCTTTCATCTTTCAGACAATAATTTTAGAGTGCWACAATTTTCACTAGTTACTATCGTCCTTTGGAGTAGAAAATGTCCAAATTTGTCATATAAAAACCAAACATTGACCATTTTTACAAGTCTCAGAAAGAAGCAAAAAACCCAAAAGCATTGCTCTTAATCTAAATTTGTTCTGCTTTTGATTTCAAACATATTCTCCATTTCCAAATAGAACATCTGGAAATGCACATTGCAGAAACTTTGTATTGATATTACAGTTACAAAAAATATGTTTTCTATCATAAATCAGAAAATTCAGAAGTTGAATGTAAAGAAACATGAATATTCAGAACAAGAAATATGGGCAGGATGCAAGCATATATCTCTTCATTTGTAATCATGACTTTCATACCACTGAAAAGTCCCTAAAAATGCATTTCCTGTTTCCAGCTTTGGGTCAGAATCCATTTAGGAAAAAAATATTTTGAGGAATTTCAGGCTTTCCCAGTATTTTAGGAAAGGCAAAGTGTGCTAACATAACGCCAGCCACAAAAGRACAAGGAGGACAAAGAAATATTCTGGACATGCCATTCGTGTTCTTATACAGCCAATCTTCACTGAAGGTTTTGAATCTTTGCCAGAATCTGACTCTCCTGCATGATTTCACCTAAGAATTACAAATGAGCTTTTATCCCTCACGAGTGCTGAGAAAAACTTGAAAATAAACAAGCAGAAAGTTTTACAGTTAGAAAACAAATGCAAACAATTGCAATATATCTCAATGTATTTAAATTAAATTCATGAGTTTTTAATGGGGTAACATAACTGATAYCACTGAAGTTGAAGAAATAGTTATAGACTATTTGCATAAATAGATAGTGGAGTGTTCAGAGACCTGAATTCTAATTCCAAACCCAGTAATGACGTGTACAATTTGTATCAAGCATTTCACCTCTGGCTGTCTCAGCTATCTCTTGTGAAAAATTAGATAATAATACTTACCCATCTTAGAGAAGTGTTTTGATATCCACAGAGAAAAGAGCTATAACATTTAAAATTATTGAAACTAATTAGCAATCATTCATCTTCTAAAAATTAAGACTATCATGGTTTTCATTATAAATTAATTCCTATCTGGAAAATGCTTTAGGCTGAAAGAGGATATGAACATTTCCACTTGCATTGCTATCTGGGTTCTAGTTAAAGAAATCTATTGAAATGTCCACTGTGCACATGTTTGTGATGGCATTCAAKCACTGCACCAAAGCAAATTTTGAATTTAAGGACTCAGAGGAAGGCTCAAGGGGGTAATGTGTCTACTTTGGCTGCACACTCTGGGTTTCATGAGTTGGCTGATCCAATAAACTCCTGTGCAGGATCACTATTACAAAGGCAACTATCTTTCTGAAAGCTGATTTTATTTTCCTGGGGGGTTTGGGCAGTTTTTTTTGACACTGATATCCTAAATCAGAAAGAGTGAAGCCTTTTGATACTGAAAACCGTGATAGTATTAAGTAGAAGTGGTGTGACAAGTCCAGCAGAGAAAAAAACAGGTTAGCAATCAGAATTTTTCTGCCAATGCCTGAACAGGGCAGTATATTTTTCCCCTAGTCCTAGCAAATCAARACACTGACTTGAAATACTGTACCAYATCCACAWSAGTTTCATAATTTCCAAGAACTCAGTCAGGACTGAATTCAGGTTATCCTTGTTTCAGTGGGCAGTGCTACACTGTGAATTTCAACAAAGCTCCATTTCCTTTCAAATTGCCTTTTTCTCAGCACAAAAGCCATAGAATGGAGAAATGGGTTCATTYGGGTATATGCTTTCAGTTATTTCAAAACAAAAGTTTTTTTGGCAATTTTTCTGCCGCACACAATCTTTACATATGAGAACTTCTCAAAAATTCTCAGTAAATTTGGACATTAAGAGATTTCTTATCGCAGACAATTGTCTCATTTATTCAAAATACAGCATAATTAAATCAAATGGGTGTTTATTTGCTAATACGTAAACAAATTCAGTGAGATGACACCACTTTCTTTTTATTTTGTCATCCTACACTTTTCTTCTTTCCAGAARAAAGATATTTAAATGTTCAAGCCTCATAAATGCAGTCCTTGCCTTCATAAACCCTGTGACTGACACTTCAACTGCATAAAATACATGAAATTAAATAATGATCAAAATGCAGACTACAGTTTCACTTTAGAAAACTGAACATATCTAACAGTTATTTTAAGYTGTCTCTGCCCATCATTAACTGTGTAAATGTGCCTTAAATGACATCACCTGTCAGCTTTTACATCCACAGGACAATCAATTCTGTCCACTAATTCAGGTTATGTAAGAATAGGAAACCATTACTGCAGAAGGTTACTGCAGTGCTGTCAGTATCAGCAGTAAGCAAGAGATTAAAAAATATCTCTACATCGTGCTACTTCTGCAGTATTTTATTTTTTGCTTCATTCCAAAATGTGTCGGGTCTTTGTAGAAAAGCTTCACCCACTGGTGGGCTTTGGAAAAACAAAAAGACACTTGGTCTTTCTTTCGGGAGAGATTGTGTTGTTCCTTTAGTTGTCTCCATTCTACATTAAGGAACTCAGTTTTTCCCAGGACTTCCAAACCTGACTCCTCTTAGCACTGCACTGTGAGCCTTCCAGGCTACGCTCTCTGCTCTTTCTGACCTGGGGGTAGCACTGGTCKAAAACACGGCTGCAGCATTCAGGTATCGTGAGGGGTGTTGCCATGAGGAACTCCACACAGATCATTTCTTCCAGGATGAGGCATCTTGTTCAAGTCAGCTTGGTGTTGGATATGTCAGGTTTCTTCCCATCTGCCAAGTCCTGCTTGTTTATATCACTTTCAGATATGGTCCCCTCAGCAGTAGTTTCTGAATGTTCCATTTCTTTATGGAAAATAGCAGACCATTTAACAACTCTCTTGACAGTCCTTTTAGCCTTCAGACCACATCAGAGTTTGTCAGTAATTTACTGTGCTGCTGATGAACACAAAATGTGCAAACAGGAGAGTGTTGCAAAACTGAATTCCTTTTCTTTTTTTAAAAAAAATAAGACTTTTAGTGCCTTTATACAGAAAGAAAAATAACCAAGTGTAAATCAGGCATAGAAACCAGTACTGTCTCTAAATCATTATCCATCAGCTTTACTAGAAAATTAGTAATAAAAGTCATTTTAGGCAATCAACACAAGATCACAAGGAAAAAAAATTGCACTAAAGAATATTGCTGCTCTTACAACTGCTAGAAGACTTGAGAACAAGGAGAATAATAGACGATATCAATTTTCACAGTAGTTCAGYATATAAATTATTTACTAGTCACAGACCAAGACAGCAAGGATAAAGCTACAAAGCAGGATCTAGACACATCATCTTTATCATAGCCCCATTGTCTCTCTTCTCTGTCATCAGAGAAAGAAAAGACATGGACCTGCTATTGCTCTCCTCACTGTTGCTCGGTTACACACACGAGAAGTATTTTCTTATTTGATTAGGAGAAATAAATCTAATTTCCAATCTTACACCTMAAGTAGCCCTCTGTATGATCCAGAYATCCTAGCTCTGCTGCATTCAAGCAAAAGTTTCAAGTCAAAGCCTGCCCTGTGAGTAAAGGTTACCAGGTTTTTACTAAGCAGAAACAAGAGTGGGTGACATCACCAGTTACTTATTAACTYACAGTGTAAAGGAAAATCATACAAATGTGTATTACAGCAATGCCACAAATGCAACACGCAATAAAATAACTGCCTTAGACACGGTGAAGAAAACTCAAGTCCCACATTTCAGATGAAGCATGGGATGGTCTATCCCAGCTGCAGGACACTCATTCCTGTTTTGCGGGGATAGCAGAGGGGAGGGCAGGGGACACCTGG